TTTTTTTTTTTTTAACCAAGAAAGAAATGTTACCTACAATGCTTTTGGTAAAAGAGTCATTGTTTTAAGCAAGTCTCTAACTTGTGTTTGGGTAGAAAGTAGATTTCAATGTAAAGAATCAAGCTAATGTGGTAAGCATTTGTCAGTTTGGACAGTGAGGAGATATACTCTGAGAACTGAGACTACAGCGGTCTCCTTTTGAGACATTTTTTTTTTTCTTCTCTTTTACCATTCTGTTATAGGTGCTTAGTTTATTTTGTGTTCACTGTTCCCTCCTTCCCCGCCCCCTGCCCTTATTTCTTTCCCCTATTCCTCTCATGGGCTACATATTGGATGCCTCCTCAGCTAAGTCCTGTTTATGACCTCTGTGAACAATAAGACACTAACCAACACCACTTTGGTGTGCTGGAATGTCAGAGGATTAAACCATCCCGTCAAACATAACAAAATAGTCTCCCATCTCCATGAATTGCATAGTCGCATTGTTTATTTACAGGAAACCAATTTGCTAAATAAAGATCAGTGTAGACTCCGTAGAGGCGGCTTTACACAATATTTTCACTCGGATTTCAATATTAAGATCAGGGGAGCAGCTATCTTTATACATAAGGATGTACAATATGAGGAGCTTAAAACAATTAGGGACAAAAACGGCAGGTATGTCATCACACCATGCTAATTATTTAATAGGCCTGTTGTTCTTGCTAATGTTTATGCCTCTAACTGGGATAATGTGGATTTTTTTCAGCATCTTTTTTCGCTCTTACCGGATCTTGAGTCGCACAGTTTAATGTTAGGTGGGGACCTGAATTGTACTCTGAACCCAAAATTGGATCGTTCCAACCCAACAACTGCCACGCTCAGTAATTCGGCTCGTTGTATTACCGTAATTTTCTGACTATAAGCCGCACCTGAATATAAGCCGCAGAAGCTAAATTACATGATTTGTACATATAGAAGCCGCATCGGACTATACGCCGCAGGTTTTTTATGTTTAATTACCATATGGTTCGTGCACAGAGAGGATTGTCGGGAAAGAGGCAACTGTTTGGGGAAGCTCCTATTTATTAACTTTTCAACACAATTTGCATATTTGCATACGTTAACTGTTACAATTTAGTCCAATAGAAGCTCCCATTTATTAACCAGTACGTTTGTTTTCCATAATGAGGGTGTCACACAAACTGTCTTGCGCTCGCAATGTCCGCCTTTCTCGCTGTCGTTCTGTCTCGTACCACTCGCGGTAGAAAAGTCTGCTTCCGGAGGACCTCCGCATTCCTGCGCGCGTGGCTACTTTACTTGTGTGTTGAAAACAAATGTGACATCAACATGATGGATGGTAAAATCCATAGATTTAGGTATTACCCTAGTGGCCATTAGCTGTAAAAGTCCATAGATAAGCCGCAATGTTATATAAGCCGCAAGGTCGAAAAATGGGGAAAAATTCGCAGCTTATAGTCCGAAAATTATGGTAATACGTTTATCGAAACATACAGAATGGTAGACCCCTGGAAATTCAAATATCCAACATCCAATCCAATCCATCTTTTTTCTCGCAAGTACACCAAACCTATTCAAGGATTGATTATTTTCTAATTGATGCGAAACTTTTGCCCATGGTTACCCAAGTAGACTATGGCAGCATCGTAATATCCGACCATTCCCGACCAGGCTGGGGTTGGGCTTTTCTAAAGACAAATTTCCCACCTTTTTGTGGCGGCTTAATCCAAGATTACTGCCTGAACAAAGGTTTGTTGACTTTGTCAACACACAAATAGATATCTTTATTGAGATGAAAGAGTCCTCTGAGATAAGTAATGCTACACTCTGGGAAAGTCTGAAAGCAAATCTGAGAGGTCAAGTGATTTCTTATGTTGCTGGTGAAAATAAAAGGAGGGCTAAACGGGCCTTAGAACTTATCGAACAAATTAAAACTGTAGATCAAATGCACTCAGTTTCACCTTCCGATGATTTATACAAGGAAAGAATCCTACTTCAAACTGAATTTGATCTAATCACTAATATCAAAGCCACAGACATGCACTTGAGGTCACGTCTCACCTATTATGAGTCTGGGGATCGTGCCGGCAAAATGTTGTCCCATCAACTTAAACAGTCAGCATCTGCAGGTTTCATTACAGCGATAAAGAATGACCAGGGTAGTCTACTTACTAACCAGGATGAGAATTAATTCCGGGTTTATGTCATTTTATGAGAATTTGTACACTTCTGAAGCGGATGACACTGCCTTAACCAAAGACTTTTTCAGCAATTTGACCATGCCCATTCTAGGTGACTCGGACAATCTAAGTTGGAGGGCACTATTACTATATCAGAAATAACTGGAGCCTGGAAAAGCACCCGGCCCTGACTGGTTTCCCATAGAGTTTTTAAAAAAAAATCGTAACCAAAACTAGTCCCTTTACTACTGAGAGTTTTTAGGGAGATATTAGACAAAAATGCTCTACCTGTGACTATGACACAAGCAATTATTTCACTTATACTTAAAAAATCTAAAGACCCCTTGCTTTGTGAGTCAATTAGTTTGCTATGTTGTGCTTATAAGATTATAAGATTTTGGCAAAGGCAGGCTTGAAGACATACTTCCCAAACTTATCCACCCGGACCAGACGGGCTTTGTCAGAGGCAGGCAGATATCCAGTAATTTGCGAGTCTCTTTAATGTCATTTATCAGTGCCATGATGTCGAACCTGAAGTAGTGATATCCCTTGACGCCCAAAAGGCATTTGACAGAATTAAATACGATTTTCTATTTAATACACTCAAAAAAATTGGATTCGGCCCAGTTTTTTGTTCTTGGATCACCATTTTGTACACAGCACCACAGGCATCAGTACAAACAAATAAGGTCACAT